ACAAAAAAATCCATTCAAGGGTTTTTTTCTTCACAAGAGAACAAGAATTGAAAGAAGTATAATCCACTGAAAAAGAATAATAACACAAATAATGCACACTATAGTATTAAAATCAACACAAATGGTTCTTTTGGGGGGATCAAGATAGTGTGCTACATATAAAAAGCCTTTAAAGCCAAGGCTACCAAAATGCCATTCAAATATATAATTAAAATCCTGATAATTTAACACACACACGAATCTTTGTTTTTAAGTTTTAAAGCAAAATGGGTCTTAAATACTTCTTATTAATGAATTGTAATTAAGTGTTCACTGAGACACTGTTGATCACGAATATCCATTTTTCTCTAATACTATTTCCAAATTATGCAAATCTCTTGACTATTTCTACTAATTAATTTTTAGACATTAATAATTCTTAACAACATAAGTATCCAAAATCACCAAGAAGCTTTAACATTATTTACTAAAAGTGAAATATCCCTCTGCTCCAAATTTCACCATTTGTTTCTTTTTTAATTCCCAATATTGATTATCATCATCAACAACAGCACAAGATTGAAATGAAAAATTATTTAAAGTATGAAGCGATGCCTGTTATGTCCTAATGTGTCATTTCTTGATTTACATATATAATTATGTTAGTTATAAATTATATTTATTTTGATAGATCTGCATATATTTAAGACAATAATTCTGTTACAATTTAAAGCCGGTGAATTATGACCAGTCAGAATAAGCGTATTCTCCGTCTGTACCAACTGTTCTTATCCAGACTTCGTCTTTTTTCTACATTTTTATAAGAGCCGCTGAAGTTCCGGACGCCTAAGAGAGTACTGCCTGACACACCCTTGACATGATTATGACCCATAACGTTACCGTTGATAACAATTTGAGTGTGGAAGTGTTTGTAGTGTTTCTACCCATTGTCACATTGGCAATGTCCTCTTGTACTTTTGTCAATTTTATAATATAAATCATAAAATACATTTATTTCGATAGTTTTGCATATTTATTGTAGACAATAATTCCGTTACAATTTAAAGCTGGTGAATGATGACCAGTCTGCATAAGCATATTTTCCAGCTGCACCATGTACTCTAATCCAGACATCTTCTTTCCTCTTCATTTTTATAACGGCTGATGAAGATCCGGATAGCCTATTAGAACTACCAGTCACGCCGTCCGCATGATTATAACCAATTATTTTTCCGTTGAGAACAATTTCAGTGTGAAAATATTTTCCCTCTGTTGTCAGAATCGTCCATTGGAAATAGTACAGCCCATCATCAGGTGCTGTGAATTTACCGGTGTTAGCGTTATAGGCATTTCCAGAGTTTTGCGTTATTTTTCCAAATACAACAACAGCGGTTGAACCAAGATTTACTTGTGTCTTCGATAAACGTGCATGAAAAGCGATGTTTTCTATGAAAAGAAATTTAAATATAAGCATCAAAGGGTATATGAAAAGACCAAATTATCCTTACTTTATTCTGCTTTTTGGAATATTTTTACAATAAGGAATGTAATAATAACATTGCAAACAACTTTGAAATAAAACTCTACATTCCAGAAGGATCTAGGCCAACGAATGAATATATCATGATATTTTTATAACGAAGAAATGTATCGTTTCAAAGGACTTCTGTCATATTTATTCACTTTAGAATTAAATCCATCAATGCAAGATCTTTCTAATTTGAAATATTTGATATCACAGTCGAATGTTTTTTTTAATTTGGCTTAGCCTGTGAAATCCTCTAATTTAAAATGGCTAATAATTAAATTACTAGTATAATGTTAGGCGTATAATCTTAGAATCTCTCCAGCACTCAATATTAGCTAGTTTTATACCTCTCGAGAAGATAATTTTTGTAGACCAAGTGTGGAAAATTCGGATTTTATTATACAAATAGAAATGACTACATTATGATAAAATTTATGTTGTTTACCGGTAAATAATATTTTACCAAAATGCAAGAAAAGCAACAAATGGTGTAACATTCGTTAGTGGAAATCCACTGAAACGAAATAAAATTTTCATGTTTAGATAAAGCCTTGTTGTGTTACCTAAGTTGCTATCAGTTAATGTAATATATCGTTCTGTTAAAAAGATATCAGTTTCTAAAAACATATGGACATAAGGCAAAAAAACCATGATGTTAGAGGACGTAACAGAGCAGCAAGTAGCAATAAAAATTTACTTTGTATTCGGGAAACTTCTTTAACAAACTTCAAAAATTCTGTATAAAACAGGAAATATATGAAAAATTATCCGTGAATTTGTATATGAAGGATATGGAGATATCGAACAGTATTCAATATCAAAGTCCATAAAACAATACATAATAGGAGCAGAGCAAACACGGACTTCCGAAACATCAGAGGTGGGATCAGGTGCCATGGAGGAATGTGCATCCCCTGCTGACCGGTCACACCCGCCTGTGTGCTCATTGTCATGAGCGGGAAATAACGAAAAACCCGTCGTCAATTTAGTGTATAAGTAATTAACTAACAATTAGTATGAAAAACGTCAGTCAGCATTTGACTCAGTGATAAATTGTATTTGCTGACAAGGGCATTGTATCGACCAAAGAACTTATGAAATGATGACTTTAAAAGAGACTGCTGATGTTCTTATTATTTTATCAACTTGCTTGTTAATAATTTACCTAGTTTTAGAAATTTTTAATACGTAGAGCATGCTATTGCGTATCGAATCAACTGAGAGATATAAATCCTGTATGCAGGTGATGAAGGTATATTGCTGCATAAGTAAAGGAAGTTGACAATAGAAAAGTTAAAGTCACCAGGTTTATCATATAGCTTCGATGTTAGATTACCTTTAATGTCTTTTTCAAGTAAAATATTCAAGTATGAAACAATTGTGTCCGACTCTGTGGTATCTTTTATCTATATAAATAGAGATTATAGTTTTTTGTTGTAGAGAATTTGAATCGGACGATGAATGGTCTCCAAACAAACAGGCTAAAAATCTTGTCAATAGATTTAGGAATGTCATTAGACGTTATTTGCACTTTACTGTTCCGGAACAAATAGAGTTACACGGTAAAGAATTTGAAAACACTGACAATCTAGTTCGAGCTTTTTTGCACAATTTTTAGCAAAAATATGTGTTAAGGTATTCAATATATAATGAAGGGATTTTGAACGATTTTAAATGATTTCAATCTAGTCACATTGCTAGATAACGATAAAGGTGAAATTAACCAAATTCACAAGACTGATGACATTTAAGGAGACGGTCATTTTGCACATTGAAAGTTTTCCAAGAGTTATCTGCCCTTGATAAAAAGATTAAAAGGTTTGATTTCTCAAAATTTCATATTCTAATAAAGAGGGAATTTATGCATATTTTCACCATGAGATTTGTTTGAAATTCAAATTACTTTTTACAATATCTTACAAAAACATGGGCTGCTAATAGACTTTAATGTTAAATTCATGGTGAAATTAATTGGCCATTATTCAAAAATTTGTAAATTCCTTTGATGGAGTATTTTTATTTGATAATATCTTCAAAATGCTATCATGATTAAAGATATTTGACCATTCATTTATCAAGTACAAAATACATGTACAGTCGTTATACATTGACTACCTTAAGTGTTATGGATACGTTTTTATGAATGGCGAAGACGCTACAAATCGTGTATGAAACTTTCTTGACGTTGTTTTTGACGTTACAATGTTGGTTGATCATGCTCCGTGGTAACAAAACAAACTACTTTAAGTATTGGATAACATGAGTTCTATCTCATCAAATGGAAGGAAAATTCACACTTTACACAAATATGCGCTTTTATTTAGGAAAATGTGTTTATCTATAATCTTGTAATAATAATATGATGATGGGGAACGTATTTTTTGAATGACACTCGTATATTTATAATTATTTAATTTACGCATTTCAAGATAATTTATCGATTTTATTGACTCATGATGTGTTAACGGTCATTTTTCTGCAATTGACTTGTCTCACAAACTTAAATTGTCGTAGGCAGACCAAAATTCAAAATCATGAAATCCACTATTTCGCTTAAATTTTGAAAACACTAAAGCAAGTTATAAATTTTTGTTTAATTTTACTTTCATAATTGTTATTTAATTTATTTCTACTGTAGACAAGAGTATATTAAATAAGAGTAAATAAATACCTTCCTTTTTAACTGAACAGTTCCTAGTTTGAAATCCCATCCCTTTACAGACTGTGAAGTATTTGTTGTATTTATCAATGAAGTCTTGTGTGACTTCTTTTGCCCGTATTTCAAACAATATGCTTCCGACAAGGAGAATCGCTCTGAGTATATTCATCATATTTAAAGATATTGTAAAATACAAAAATAATATTTTAGAATACTATCCAATGGATGAGGCTATCTGCTATCTGGTTGAAGGATTTCTGTTTGCTGGCAAATTCAGCCTCCCATATTGAAAAATAGGAGGTATATGAAGAGAGTTTTGTTCCTTTTTTTTCTATGACGTAAAGATTCATCTTAGAATGGAACGTGCAATTTTTGCTCAAAACCGAAATATTTATGGAACGTTGAATATTCCATTACTTTTTATATTTCATGAGTTTTAGTTTTAATTTCTAGGAGGTTCATATGTATATTCATTTGAACAATTGTAATGAGTTTTTTTTATTGTAACTAAATTATGTGTATGAACAGCTTAGATTATTGTATAAAATTCTCGTTCGTTGCTAGCATTGTTAATTATTAGTAAGTGGATGCAAGCGTAAATACTTACAATCAACTAGTAAATTAACAACGTGATTTCAAATTATTGAAAGCGTATGAATGTGTTGCCACTTCCTGCTGAGAATGTTAATAAGACTCGATTACAATATAATAAACACACATACTTTTAGGCTATAGTATCCGTTTTCATGTGTATTTTCTGTTAGTCTAATCTGTAATAACTGAAACAGCTTGGTTTATTTTAAAATTCCCAATTTTCCTTCCTCTTCTTACACAATGTAGTTTAACAAAAATAAGAATCTTACGCTGAAACAATAACAGAAAAGAATACATCTACCGTGATTTATGATATGTATATATCGATCAGCTGTGCATGTCATACAATACATTTAAAATTACACGTTGTTTTAAAAGAATAATAATAAACGCACAACATCATACATCTGATTTAGAAAATAACAGGATTTTTCTAACTTCAAACGTCTATTTTCTCTTATTCTGTTTATGATTAGAGCTATTTAAAAAAAAAACATAAAAAATGTGTATTTTGATTCGATCAATACGATCGTCATGTGGTTAACTTATCAATTCTGTCATCGATTGGTCTTCTTGGTATATACTGAACATTTTCTGAATAGGGTAGTAATACAAATTGTTAAAGGAATGTGAAGAAAGGTAAAGTTAAACTAATGACCTTTCTCCATTCCTTTACAGTTCTCTGCTTTATATCCCATTCCAAGAATTTCTCTACAAACTTTATAGTACATGTATTTATCGATGAAATCTTCCGATGTTTAATTGGCATGAACCTTTCTCAATATCCATACAATTGAAGCTATAGGGTATGGAACGCCGTCACTGCCTTATAGCAGAACACTGCGATTGCACAACATCAACCTTCCATTACATTATGTCAACTCTATATGATATTTACTCACACTGGTATTGCATTGTGTCAACTTTCCATTACATTAGGTCAACTCTTTATGACATTAACACACACTACTATTGCATTGTGTCAACTTTCCATTACATTATATCAACTTTTTATGACATTAACCCACACTACTATTGCATTGTGTCAACCTTCCATTATATTATGTCAACTCTTTATGACATTAACCCACACTACTATTGCATTGTCTCAACCTTCCATTACATTATGTCATCTCTTTGTGACATTTATTAACACTACTATTTCATTATCTCAACTTTCCTTTACATTAGGTCAACTCTTTATGACATTTACACACACTACTATTACATTGCGACAACTTTCTTTTACATTATGTTAACTTCTCTTTGTGACATTATGTCAAAAGATTTTTACGTGGTGTTAAGATACATTTATATAATTTCAACTCAGTATTACATTATGTGCACTCTCTACTATTTGGTCTAAGTAGTTCATTACCTGATGTGAATTTATCTTAATTTGATATCAAGTCGCTATAATACGATGTCAGAATTTCATTACATGATGTCAAAAAATTGTCACATGTAGTGAATTCTTCTACTACATTTAATATGTCATCAATATGCTACATGACGCCGTGAATCAATTTCATGATGTGAATTTGCCCTTACTTTTTAACAAATCGTTATTACGTTATGTCATTGTGTCTTTACATTAATTGTGTCAAAAATGCTCAGCCTCTTGTCAGCATACGTGTATCTTTGGCTATTTCATATTGATCAGATGTGGAAAGCTCATGTTATACTGTGCGCACTCTTCTACATTATGTCGATTCACTATTACGTTATGCGAACACGGGTGTCCTCGGCCTTTATATGCGCATAACGTATTTTCCGCGTTCCGCAGGCACTAAAAATGGCGGGAGAGAAAACAGTCGTAGAAGATATTCTCGGCGATTTGGGAATGGCATATTTAAATGAAAACGTAAAGCGACAAATGATTGACAATCTTGAAACGTGCAGCCAAGGCCTTCACACTGCGACTTTGAATTAATTTCAATGGCGTTTACTTTAATTTAATCTGATAATTAGATAAATCAAATATTATGAGTCGAGCAGCTTTTTTTTATTTTCATATTGAATTGTTTTTTTATATAGAAGTCTTAAACTTCTTATCTTATTAAGAACATTGTCATATATTTTTTATCAGTCTCTACCTCTCCTTTTTATTTTAAAAAGTGTTAACACACCGTATAACAAACGTGCAACGGTGGTTTTGGGGTTGGGGGCAGGAATCCCGTCCTTCCATCTTTAGTGACCAAAATATACATAGGATTAATAAATTCATTGGTTTTACTTTGTAGGACATTGCTTAAGATTAGCTGAATTAAGAGTTGAAAACCTTTTTTTCTATAAAACTATAAAGTCTAAGAGCCCCCCCCCCCCCTTGGTCTCCAACTATACACCGCCCCCCTTCCTTGTTCAAGATTCCCATGTCCGCCACTGATATGTGCCCATGCATGCTTGCTAAGGCATATTCAACTCATTTAGACTGATATATAGATTTTTGTAATAGAATTCTGGCACTGGAATTGTTGAAAAAATTACTAATTCCAGTGACGCAGCATCTTCTTTGAAAGGGGAAGCAGGCACGGATCCAGGAATTGAAGTAAGAGGGGGCGCCAAAAATAGGCAAGGGGTGTGGAGGCCGCCTTGAGGCCCCCAGTGGGTCCAGGGCAAAGCCCTGGTGGGGACCCAGGAGGCGAAGCCCCCGGAAGCTCCTGGGTTCTAGAGATTTTGTAGGGTAAAAATGAGGTATACCTAGTAGACATATTTACATTTTCTAGACGAAACTTTGATTTACGTTAACTTTGACAATTTTAGGGGAGGCGCGCGCCGGGTGCGCCCCCCCCTTAAATCCGCCACTGGGAGGTCAGCCAGAAAAAAAAAATTCTACTCGAAACAAAAAACAGTCCTAATTTTTTTTTTCAAGTATTCTACATTACCCGTAGTGGACTATACTTCAAGAAAAAGTGGGGATGGGGCTGTACTTTCCATGAACATTACATTTCCTATAGTAAAGTTATATATGGGAAAAGAGGGGGGGGCTGATATTATGTGCCTGAAATTCGTCCTAATCAATGAGGAGCCCCCCCCCCTTTCTCTTACCAGTCATTAATACACGGATATACAGCTTTGAGATAATGAAAATGTATTTTTACATCAGGTAATGAACTATTGGAATCAATATGATGAAGAGTTAACACAATATAAAGATGTTTTTAAATCACATTAGAAAAGGTTGACATAACGTAATTATATATCCACATCACGGAATGGAGTTTTGACATAATGTAATAAAGTGTTGATATAATATAAAGATATGTTCACATTATGTTATACACTTTTTACACCACGTAATAAAGCAATGACATGAAGGTAAGATGTGTTCACCTAGCATCATGATGCTCCCGACGTATGAAAAAGATAAATCCATATCACGTAATAATGCTTCGATATAATAAAAATATACACTCTCAAAAAGGAATGGATTTTTGACTTCATGTAATGATAAGTTTAATTATAAAACACAATTTGCTTGACGTAATGCAATTTTGACCTCGCATATTAAAGAAATGAAATGATGTAAAGAAACATTCATTTCAAGTAATAAAGTTTTAACACAATGTAAACACATAATCACTTAACAAAATGGATTTTTTACTTCAAGTTATGAAGTACTGACATAATCAAAGAATGTATTTACTTCATGTAATGCAGCATTGACATGATGTTATGATATTTTCACATCATATCATAAAAAAATGACATAACGTAAAGATATGTTCACATCACGTAATGATAAATTGACATAATAAATGCATAGTTGTATGCTATAAGGCAGTGATGGCGTTCCATAATAGGGTTTTATCACTAGGACTCAGTAGACGGTGATTTGTTTTCAAATATGTCTTCATGGTCATTTTTAAAGCTTCATTTAATTTTCCAATTAATGTTTACAAAATTTGTGGATATTCGTTTCCATTCATTATTATTTAACATCCATTCTATTGCCTCCGACTTAAACGTATTTTCGTTTTAATTTCTTAACTTAGGCCTAACTTTCATAATGACAAAAAATCAAATTCAAATTTTTTATGAAATGGTTCTACATTGCTTAAATATTTTCTTCATACATGTCTTATATGTAAAATGTTTAAAGAGTGAGATTCATAATTTGAAATAATGACTATCAAAATTGATGTTTGATAAAACTGTTGTTGACGTTACAATTAAAACACACACCAAACATACAAAAACAATCCATTCAAGGTTTATTCCTTTCAAGAGAACAAGAATTGCAAGAAGTATGATCCCCTGAAAAAAAATAATAACACAATAAAAAATACACTTTATGGTTTTAAATCAGTACAAATGTTTTATGTAAAATTCATCAAATAAATGTAGCTATGTACATACTGTACTTAGTAAAAGCTTTTAAAAAAGCTAAGGCTACCAAAAACCATTTCAAATAATATAATAAATACACACACAAGATTTTTTTGAAAAGTTTTAAAGCAAAACGAGTCTTAACACTTCTCATTAATCAATTGCCATTAAGTGTTAAGTGCGACACTGTTAATCATGAATGTCCATTTTTCTCCAATACTATTTGCAAAATATGCAAACATCTTGCTTACGTGGTCACTATTTCTACTTATATGCAAAGACATTAATTATTTTTAACTGCATGAGGATCTAATTTTTTATTTTGTTTTACTTTTTACTAACTCTACTTATTGTCACGAGGAAATATACTACGAGATGGTTCTTTCTTTTTCTATTTTGGCCACTTCCGGTGCTTCCTGCGCGCTGTTTTCCTTCAAGTGGTCGAGGTAAGTAGTTCCTTACAGGAAATCATGAAAAAAAAATAAGAGTTATAACCCAATATTTTGAGTTTGAATTTTATTCTCTCTCTGAAGATTTTTCAAATTAGTTGCCTTTTAAGATTTTATAAGTTGCAAATAATAGATATTTTCAAAGTTAAAAAGTCATGATTGAAGTTGGCATAAAATAATTACAAAAGAAATACATGACTCTGTACCTCCGTATTTCGTGTTCATCTGGTCACAGGCATTATTGTATGCACCCGACAAATAATACTCCTGAAAGGCGGTTGAAGTATGAAGCTTTGCTTACGTTTTCGGAAATGAATATTAAAATTCTGCATTTGAAATTTGTTCAATAATTTAAAACAGTTATTCCTTATGATACAGAAATATCTCAATTTTCATAGTTTGACGGAATGGGTTGAAAAGTAATTTATATAAAAAAAAATATTGGCAATAGAAAATACATGTAGTAACCAAAATTTAAACATAGTTCAGATCTGAATGAGTCGATTGACTATAAAATGGTTCTCATTATTAAACTCTGGTAAGATAATTCATTTGATTGTATGGAATAATTTCTATGGAATGTTTTATCTCTATCATAGGGTAATTACAGCTAAATTAGAAGAAGGGTTGTTTTTCCTTTAATATTCGTGGAGCTACTCTGATTTGCTTTTGTTTTCCTTTTCCAGCCAATTCTGATCGCATGCTGCTCATTTTTAAACTTAAATTGGAAAATGCCATCAATTTCACGAAGATAAGTCATAATCCACACATTCCTGGTAGTTTGTTTTTTGTATCCATCATCAATTTAAATGTTATTTGAAAATAATATTCTTGCGCATATATGGATTTTCTTAGATATAAGAAATTTATTACCTGTGCAAAGATGTAAAAGTTTTGCTATTTGCAAACCTCTCTGCTGTCTGTATTATACGGTTAGGAGAGGGAATATCCTTTTTTACATTTACATGTATCTTCACTAACTGTTAAGAAAAATATTCTAGCGATTCTATTGATATTTTTTCCTCCTTGTCTGATTAAATAGTATTTCTTCAGCGATTCTTTGGAAAGAATTTTGCAGAGAAACTTTATTTAGATATAAAGACTTCCAATTTTCTACTTTATCACTTTTTTCTAGACTTGTATCATGTTGTAAATTTTGCATTTAATGAATGGAGGTAAATGCATATTTTACTACACGATCGTAATTATGTTTGAATGCTTTAATGGATTCTGTGTTAATTCTGTTTACTTTTTGAAATTTAGAATTATTAGATTATGCATTTAGGGACTAATGTCAGGTCAGTGTCATGTTCTATGTACGATTTCTTAATATAGATATAATTATATTGTTATATATTATATCTATTTTGATAGTTCTGCATATTTATTTCAGACAATAATTTTGTTACAATTTAAATCCAGTGAATGATGACCAGTCAGCATAAGCATACAATCCAAACGAACCATCTGTTCTTATCCAAACTTCGTCTTTCCTCTTCATTTTTATTACAGCTGATGAAGTTCCGGACGCCCAGTGAGAACTGCCTGACACTCCATTGACATGATTATAACCAATAATTTTACCGTTGAGAACAATTTCAGTGTGGAATTGTTTTCCACCCTTTGTTACATTGGTCCACATAAATGAGAACAGACCATCTTCAGGCGCTGTGAATTTACAGGTGTTTGTGTTATAGGCATTTCCAGTTTTATGTTACTTTCCCATAAACAACAACAACGTAGTTACCATGAAAAGCGATGTTTTCTATCAAAACAAATAATGAAGATAGCCATGTAAGTGTACTTTAAAACAGAGGATTAAATCTTAGATTATTTTTATTTTTTGCATTTTGCTTTTTTGATATTTTTGTAATCATGAAAAAATGAATGGCATAATTTTCTTTTTTATTGAAAACAGCTCTCTGACTTCACTTTATCTATCGTCAGCTTCCATCAAAGCAATATACCCTTATCATCTCCATATGTAGTTTGTGTCTCCCAGTTGATTCGATACGTAAAATCAAGCTCTACGTTCGACCTTTTTTTTAAAAACGAGGCAAGCAATGGACAAGCAAGTTGACTAAAAAGAATATCAAAAGCCTTGTTAAACATAATCATTTTACAGGTTCTATGGTCGATGTAACCAAGCCGGCTTTGAGCCAGCACATAGATATATTTAGATATTTTAAATTTGCGATTGTTTTAAAGGACATTTATTGTTACATTTTTAATTTATTCATTCTGAAAGCCATAAGTAAAAGTATTTGAAGATAACGCAATCAAATAATTTGCTTTATACATCACTATCGTACTATACGAACATAAAATTTTGATTTATATAAGTAATACACAAACTATAATGCTTAAAACCAACAATAACAATACAAAAATAGGAGAAGAGAAAACACGGACCTCCAAAACATTGGAGGTGGGATCAGGTGCCATGAAGGAGTGAGTATCCTCTGCCGACCGTTCACATCCGCCGTGTGCTCCTTGTCATGATCGGGAAATAACGCGAAAATCTGTGGTGAATTCATTGTGTAAATAATGTACTAACAATTAGTATAAAAAACGTCAGTCAGCATTTGAATCAGCGATAAATTGTATTAGCTGATACGGTCATTTTATCGACCATAGTACTTATGCAATGGTGACTTTAAACGAGACTGCTGATATTCTTGTTTCATCAACTTGCTTGTCAATAGTTTACTCGTTTCAGAAATCGTTCTTACTTAGAGCATGTTATTGCTTATCGAATCAACTGAGATATATACACACTACTATTACACAGAGTACCATCTATGAAAAACTGACCAATATACAAGGAAAGCAACAAAGAATTATGTGGCTATTTAAAAGTTTCATCAATCTGACAAGTAAAATAAATCTGTTCGTGAGAAATATAGAGAGATATCAAACGAAATAATGGAAAGCTAAAAAGCAATGACCCAGTCCTGTTTTTCAGTCCGATCTACATGTAATGAAATATACACTCAACAAAACTTCTAAGTGTTCACTTTAATAAATGAATTTATTTTAAAACTATTGTATAGAATGATGTGATATTTTCAAATTATTACAACAAATGAGTCTTCTCAACAATTATAGAAAGAAAAGAAATATCACCGATGAAAACAAATGTTCCGTGACGAAGCTTAAAAACGATAAATAAGTACTTTGGGGCACGTGTTTTGTGTAATTAGTATTTTTTGGTGATCATTATCAAATTGTAAAAAATGGTTTTACTAAAAAAACATAAAACATTGGCAAAATGACTATTGAGATGGAAGAGAGAGCCGTTGGAATGTTGATATCTGGGCAATCTTTGCACCACGTTTTACTCACTTTTATTTTAGTGCTTAATTGTACTTGTTATTACTTTTAAAACTTATGAAACACTATCAAAACCCATTTAAACACATTTTTCTATAGGCTGTGCTCATTTTTCATCACCAATTTGTCACAATTTGAAAGTTTTTGACAAAATTTAGCCACACCGGAAGTGACCTTGAACTTCGTCAGAGACCAAAATTTCGCGTCACACCATGTTAAAAGAGTGTTAAATTGCTGTGAAACAATCTTAAAAACATGAAAACAAACAATTTCAATCGTACGAAAATGTTAAGAAATCGCTGCTTGTGACGGTCTAATTTTAATTAGCTCAAGCAGTCTGAATTATTCTTAAAGAGGCCACTTACGTGCTGAACACCCTAGGATATTGACCACAAGACATGTGTGATGCTACCCTCTCAAATTCCGGATCTGAATCCCATTTAACACATTTGGGATTTTATAAGAAATGTCAACCCCCCCTTTTTTTCCACGCAATTTCAATGGTTTGAAAAGATCTAGACAGAAGGTATGGCAGCAGATGCGTCAATCTCCTATTCAGGGGTACAAGGTATTCAACTGTAATTACAGTCTTGTAGTAATTAGAGTGAGTGGTGGTCTTACTCCATAGAGCTTTTTGTGTGAATTTTTATTTTGAGGTTACTTCGTTTCCTTGACACTTTGCGAAAAATTTTGTAGAGATACTTAGATGAAATTTATGCAACATCCAACTTAAATATGCATCATTAATCAGGAAAAAAAGAAATTATTTACTGTTTGCATTTGTTCTCTAAAACTTCAGAAATGTCAGGTGAACACTTAGAAGTTTGGTTCAGTGTATAATATTCTTAACATTGTAAAGATTCATATCATATTTTTCTAATTTTCAATCTACCGCTTCCTAAAACGGTGAATCTTATGTTATGAAACAGTTTTATTTACAATGTGGAGCACTTTATTTTTATGAACACTTTATTTTCTTTGAATTGTCTTCCAGTATTGGTAAATAAAGTAATTGGTGAAAGTTAAAAACTGGAAAACCATCTGCGTAAGAAAGAATATTGGAAAGCCACATAAAATTGGAATTGATTGCATGTGAATATCAAGTTCAGCCTTATGTACAATCAAAATCCTAGAGAATTTCAAAGATTGTTTAGAAAAAAAGATACTGATTTTTTCAAAATCCCTAATTGAATACCACATTGATTATTGTTCACATATAACATTACATACTTATAACTTTTTTTATATAAATAAGCTTCACTTACAAACATCAGAATATGAAATGACGTATAGTCTGTATGATTTTCTTCAATTGCTTCATCTGCTTTCACATTTGGTCGATCTTTTTAAAGCTAAATATGATTAGTAAATACAAAGATTTAGATTTATCTGCAATATTACTCTGCACTTTCTTTAAATCCACAGCTACTATATTTATATATTTTGTTCTTTTACTCCCGGTTCAATGAAAACAGTTTCACTAGAGTAGACGGAGGTGTTATGCATAGCTAATGAAGTTTTATAAAACTTTAAGAAGTGAATGTGCCTTTTTAAAAGCAGAATTCAGCTTTAAACTTTTAATTGTTTAGAACGTAATTTATGCAATTTTAAGTTTTTTTAAAATCCCTGAATGATATTATATTTAAGATTATAGATAAAAATAATTGAGCGAGAATCATGTAATATCTTCAAAAGTAACCTTTATCTGACGCAAAATACTTTTGATGGAAAAGATTTATATCGTTAATGTCTGCTGCCTTATCTAACATTGCGTTTTTAACAATACAAAGTACGCTCATTTACACTTCTAAGAGTTATAAATTTATAAATGCGCAAAACAAACGGTATTCGATCTAAAAGTCCATTTAAGGATAAATAACACAAACAAACTTTTTTTCAGAAATCAGCAATATTTCTCATAGATTTATGTTTAAATTGATAATCAGAATAATGTTTACCAGGTATATTGGGAAAATTTTATATGACTTTGTCATAAGATCAAAAATTTGTGCAAAATTTTGTATAGAATTATATAGAAAGCGAAACAAAGTGCCATATCTTAGCACCAAAGAAAACCTACGATTTCTTTATAATTTAGGGATTTATTATTTATGTCATTTCAAATCAAAATCAGTCAAAAAATAGATATCAATCCATGCATCCATTTTTTGTTTGTGTTAAGTACCCTTAATCAACAAAACAAATTTTGGAACAGAGCAAAAACACGGACCTCTAAAACATCAAAGGTGGGATCAAGTGCAATGGAGGAGTGAGAGTTGAAAATGGTCAAACAAAAATCTCTGGATTCAGAAAAAAGTTCTGTATATTTATTTACAGATTACTACAATTTAATCATAGTTAATCATATTATACATGTAGAGGGAAAATTATCATATCAGTATTAATTCATAGGGACCAATGTTCATTTGAATGCAAAATTTTTATATATAGATCGTGGGGACATAAGTCCTTTGGAAACCCGTATATACAGAACATTCCTGAATAAATATTGACAAAAATGGTTCGGAGAGATGAAAATTCATGAATGAGGGTGATCGACCCACGAACTTCATGAGCATTGGTCCCACAAGAACATTGATGATTCTCCCGTGCTTCACCTAGGCCTGCTAAGTGTGACCGGTCGACAGATCAGGGACACTCTTCCTCTGCATCTGATCCCATTTCTGGTGTTTCAGAAGTCAATGTTTGCTTTGCTTTTGAGACATCCAATAAACAATGCTATTTAATCTTTTCGAAATAATTTTGAAATATTGGTATACCAGCAGTTCATATGTTGCAAAAATACACCTTATTAAAAAAAAAATGGGGGAAAAGTTTTTTTTTAAAATCTATCATGCTTGGTTGCCATGCAGTTAAGCGCACAAATATACTGTTTAAGCCATAAGATAGAGTGTGTCATATACCGGTATAAGGTGTGATTGTAAGACGTTGTGAATTTTAATGTTTCCAAAGATATGTGGAAATCAGTTGTTTAATTGATTGTGTTTTTAATATGAAAAACGTAAAGAAAAAGCTAGTAATCCATATAAAAAATCAATAAACAATGCCTATATATTAAAAGGACATTAAACACGTATACGTGGAAATCATGGGCCTAGGAGGAATTATTATACCTTGTTGACCGGTCACACCCGCCGTGAGCCGTTTATATTGATCAGGTACAGACGACACATTACGTAGTCAAAATTAGCATAAAGTCCTTGTACTGTAATTGTATGAATCAAGGCAGCCAAAATACAACCTAATATGATAGAATACATTTAATAACAACGTCATTATAGCGACCATAGAATGTACAAAATGCCGAATTTAAGCGAGGTTGTTGAACTCCCTGTAACAGCATCATATGTCAGTAACAAGAAACAGGTTTAAATTAATAATACTGATAACAGGTTCTCGAATATCTAATAGGTTGGGAGATTAAACACAATATGAAGACCATGTGATAGCGAGATATTACAAAATAAACAAGAAACGTTCAGTAGAAAAGTTAAAGTAATTTCCTATGTCATACATGTAAAGCCCATATTTTAATTGACCCATATTTTTTAGTTAAACATCCTACTATGAACAGATGTGGGACATTTGTCTTATTTTCAAGTTCCCTGGGATATATCGACTCGAAATATGAATGAATATAACTGTTGTTTCTTGATACAACATTTTCGATGTACGTAATTATAAATGTCGAGTTGAAGGCAATGTCAAGTATTTTTTCTGGTGTAAAAGGGTCACTAAATTAGAAAATGCATATTGGAATTATTGTCATACCACTGTCATGTCATCCTGTACTTTTGTCCATTTCATAAAATTAACAAAATATAATCATAAAATACATATTTAATTTAGATAGTTTTTGCATATTTGTTTTTGTAAATAATTATGTTACAATTTAAATCCTGAAAAGGATGACCAGTTTTCATAAGCAAAATTTCCATCGTTACCATGAGTTCTTATTAAGACTTTATCATTCTTCCTCATTTTTATAACAGCTGATGAAGATCCAGATGCCCAGTTAGAATAACCTGCCAAGCCATCGGTATTATTATAACCAATGATGTTACCGTTGAAAACAATTTGAGTGCTAAATTTTTTCCACCCCTTGTCAGAATTATCCAATGGAATGAGTAGAGTCCATCTTCAGGTGCTGTGAATTTACCGGTGTTAGTGCTATAAGCATTTCCTGAGTTTTGTGTTACTTTTCCAAAAACAACAGCGACGTTTGTACCAAGGTTTTTCACTTCTTTTCATAACATTGCATGAAAACCGATGTTTTTTATCAAAAGAAATTAAAAATATAAAAAATACTAAATTGTTACATTAAGATAGCGTTTGTGTTTATTTCACTCAAATTAATGTAGGCAGGCCGAGATTCTTAAGAAGGAAAAGCAACATAGCCATTGAATTAGGCAAACTCTAGGTCAAATTGTATGTTTTCGAACATATACGAACGCCTTAACGCCATTTTTGTACATTAATATTAGCTAAGACAAAAGTATTTTAAATAAGAGTAAATAAATACCTTTCTCTTTTCCTGAACAGTTCCTATTCTGATATCCCATTCTTTTACAGACTGTGTTGTACCTGTTGTATTTATCGATGAAGTCTTGTGTACCTTCTTTTGCCTGCACTTCCAGCAGAATGCACACGACAAGGAGAATCGCTCTTAGCTTATTCATCCTTTTGAAAGATACTGTAAAGGACACAAATAATATTTTAGAATTCTCTTCAATTGATGAGGCTATCTGGTATAAGGTTTTATGATTTCTGTTTGCTGGCAAATTCAGCCTTTTATATTTACTTGCCTTTTCTGAATATCATTAACGAAGTAATTAAAACGTAATTTGAGAACTGTGATTTCTTTTTCAAATAAAATGTTTGTATATGGAGTAATATCAGAAATTTCCCATATTGAACAAAAATTAGGAAATGTGTGAAGAGAGTTTTGTTTCATCACTTCTTTTTAAATAAAGATTCACCTTATGAACGTTAAACTTGCCATTTTTATACCCGCACTTTCGAAAGAAAGTTCGGGTATATTGTTGTTACTCATGTCCGTCCGTCCGTCCGTCTGTCACACTTTTCTTCCCTGAACTCCTCCTACATTTTTCACAGTAGCTTAATCATCCTTTGGGAGATGGTTGGGGGTGTCATGTAGATGTGCAGTAAGGTTTCGGAATTTTGATTTTGCCCCAGGGGATCAAATGGGGGTCGAAAAATGACGTTTTTTATACAAAAAGCCCCTTCTTCCCTGAACTCCTCCTACATTTTTCACAGTAGCTTAATCATCCTTTGGGAGATGGTTGGGGGTGTCATGTAGATGTGGAGTAAGGTTTCGGAATTTTGATTTTGCCCCGGGGGATCAAATGGGGGTCGAAAAATGACGTTTTTTTATACAAATAGCCCCTTCTTCCCTGAACTCCTCCTACATTTTTTACAGTAGCTTAATCATCCTTTGGGAGATGGTTGGGGGTGTCATGTAGATGTGCAGTAAGGTTTCGGAATTTTGATTTTGCCCCAGGGGATCAAATGGGGGTCAAAAAATGATGTTTTTTATACAAAAAGCCCCTTCTTCCCTGAACTCCTTCTACATTTTACTCAGCAGCCTAATCATCTTTTGAGAGATGGTTGGTGGTGTCATGTAGATGTGCAGTAAGGTTTCTGAATTTTGATTTTGCCACGGGGTATCAAATGGGGGTCGAAAAATGACGTTTTTTTATACAAAAAGCCCCTTCTTCCCTGAACTCCTTCTACATTTTACTCAGCAGCCTTATCATCTTTTAAGAGATGGTTGGTGGTGTCATGTAGATGTGCAGTAAGGTTTCGGAATTTTCATTTTGCCCTGGGGGTGGGGGGGATGGGGATCAAATCAAGGGTAGAATTTATATATATATATTTTTTTTTACATATATTTGACATGTTTAATCACCCTGCTTTCAATAAATTCCCTAATATCTTATGCTGCAATAACTTTAAACCATGATCATTTAGAAAATAATTGGTTTGTTTTGTGTATGTGTAAAATGGTTTCAAAATTTGAATTTTCATATGGATGGCAAAAAGGGGCTGGAAAAATATGGCACCTCCCTAACCCTGGTGGTCATGATTTGTACAAACTTGGATCTACACCTCTTGAGAATTTTTCCATATTAATCATGCTCTTGGTGTTCCTGAAAAGAAGAACTTTAAAGATGTGTTTCCTTTTATTCCTAAATAAAACTTTGATCCCTAATTGTGGCCTGACCCTAGCCTGAGGTGATGATTTGAAAAACTAGAAATATGTCTATAGGACATGAATGTCCCGCCAGATGTGTATTACTAATGGTACATTAAACAAGAGGCCCATGGGCCACATCGCTCACCTGAGTACTGAAGCTAAGAAAAAGTAGAAATTGGTTTATTATTGAAAAGTTAAAATCCAAAAGTAATCCCATGATCAATCATGGATTTACTTTTCTTCAAAGAATTTTCCCATATATTTCTATGTAAAACTTTGGTCGGCCATTTTGGCTCAGGTGAGCTAAAAACTAAAAACTAAAATTTGTATTTGTGTATAAAGTTTGATGAAAATATCTTAAACAGTTTTTTTTTTCAGAATTGAAACTAAAATATAAATAAATTGGATATAGATAATAAATTCTCATCAAATTATGTATAAGTGCATGTTATACATAAAAATGTCTTAAATTATTTCTTAAAAACTAAGCAAAATACATATTAAAGAGGAGGGAGGTCAAGGTCACAGGAATGTGCAAGATGAAGTTTTTGATGCAGCTGAATAGCTCTCACTAATACATATTAGCTTATTATGTTTGATAAAAATATCTTGAATGATTTAATGAAACTGAACTAAACACTTTGTTTTAAGAAAAGAGAAGTCAAAGGAAAGGTTGTGGTCAAAATGTTGTTCTAGCTGAAAAGCTTACATCAGTGTGAATTTACTATTATCATATTAATTTTAATAAAAATATAATTAATGGTTTATTTGAAAATTAGATAAACACATATTTTAAAAAGTGAGGTCAAGTCAAAAGAAAATTCAAGGTCAAAATAAGTTAATGCAATAATAGCTCTCATCAGTATGTATTAGCATATGAAGTTTGATTACTATATCTTGAACTGTTTATTCAAAACTGATCTAATCTAAGACAGTGAGGTCAAGATCACAGGAAATGTCAAGGTAAAAAAGAGTGAAGCATTGTAAAGCTTTAATTGCTTACATCAGTATGTATCATCATGTGAAGTTTCATTACACAACTTGAATCATTATGGTTTCTCTAAAATAAAGCTAAACACTAATTTTAAGAAAAGTTAAGTAAAGGTCAAAGGAAAGTAAAGGTAAACAAGATGTGTTTGTGAAACACTATGCGCCCGCCGGAAACAAAGTTCAAAAAATCGATTTTTAGCATATTGGTCACAGTCAAGGTCACAAGGTCACTGACCGTGGTGTCATTTGAAAGAACTTAATCAGTGGAGTATGCATCCCAAATATGAAGTCCCTATCTACTATGGTTTAAAAGTTATGGCCAAAAGTGTAAAAAGCTATTTTTAGCATATAGGTCACAGTCAAGGTCATTGACCATGGTGTCATTTGAAAGAATTTAATCAGTGGAGTATGCATCCTAAATATGAAGTTCCTATCTCCTATGGTTAAAAAGTTATGGCAAAAAGTGTAAAAAGCTATTTTTAGCATCTAGGTCATGGTCAAGGTCACAAGGTCATTGACCATGGTGTCATTTGAAAGAACTTAATCAGTGGAGTATGCATCTCAAATATGAGGTTCCTATCTCCTATGGTTCAAAAGTTATGGCAAAAAGTGTAAAAAGCTATTTTTAGCATATAGGTCACAGTCAAGGTCACAAGATCATTGACCTTGTTGTCAACTGAAAGGGCTTTATTAGAGGAGTATGCATACCAAATATCAAGTCCCTATCTCCTATGGTTAAAAAGTTATGACAAACAGTGGAAAAAGCTATTTTTAGCATATAGGTCACAGTCAAGGTCACAAGGTCATTGACCTTGATGTCATTTGAAAGGACTTTAATAGTGGAGTATGCATACCAAATATGAAGTCTCTATCTCTTATTGTTCAAAAGTTATGGCCAAGGTTAAAGTTGACAACAGACAAACAGACAAACAGACAGGACAAAAAAAATATATGCCCGGGATCTATCGATCCGGGCGCATAAAAAATATTGCCACAGTTGGATAGTTTACATCAGTATATGCATCAGCATATGAACTTTGATAAAATATCTAGAAGTAATTTCTTTGAGCTCAATGGAAAGACAGATGGAAGGGTGGAGGACGGACATGACAAAAACTAATACATGTATTCTTAATCATGGCGTTGCATAAAAAACTTGAATATACATTATATGAGGATGTTTCCATATCAAGATTATACATGCAAATTCAAAGAATTGTGGTCCTTTGCTTTCTGTGTTTAAGGGACAGTATCCCTCTGCTCCACATTTGACGACTTTTTTAAAAAATTCCAAACATTGACTTTCAGCAACAACTATAACATTCAATTCAAATAAAAAATAGTTTGAAGTATGAAGCGTTGCTTACTTTTTCAGAAATAAATGATATGTCAAATCATGATTTGAAGAAAATTTGATATGGTCATTAGAAAGATCAATTATTTTTAATCTCACAATTAAATTAGAAATATGAGGTATATATAAAAATAATATTTACTCTCATACCTATCTAATTCCCTTTAGAAAACATACTGGAGCGATGCTTTTTAAATCAGAATACCAAATTGTTTTCTGTGCATGTAAAATAAAATGCATTCATAAGCAAGAGTTATCATTCCGTTATCGCCCTTGAAATTCTTTTGTAATGAAATAAAATATTAATTAAATGTTTATAAACAATTCTGCGGCTTTTATTTCTGTACAATTAAAAGACTTTCACGTTTAGAAATAGATTTTTAATCAATTTACACCATTTAAAGGAACTGAGTGTAAATGTTTTAGGTAAACTATTCAAAATAATTTTTGAATATACTAGCAATAGAACTACAAATCAACCTCTGATCAATGGGTTAGGTTTGCTTGAGTTAACAATAAAATGGTCCATATGATATAGATTTGTAAACTCTGACATGACAAATTACTGAATTTCATGACAAAATGTCGGCAGAAAGTTATCTTTCTTATCTGTGGAGTTATCTCTCTTATCAGAGTATCAATGAACCTTAAGTGAATGGGATGCCATAATTTATGGCAGATTGTGTATCAAATATGCATCCCTATCATATGTCACTTTATGAAAATTAGGTCAAAGGGGGGAAATCATCGCATGCTCGAAATATTTTGTTGCAGGTAAAGAACATGTCAAATATGAAAGACCCATCTCTTTTCAATCAAAAGTTATATATATATATATATAAATATATAATATAATATTTTTGAAAAGTAGGTTAAACTTCTAGGTCAAGATCAGAAAGTCAAAAGTCATGATATATTTAGAAAAGTCTTTTCACATGTAATATACATGTATAATTTAAATGCCATATCTTTTCTCTTTCAAAATGATTAATTTAAAATATTATTTTTTGGAAAGTAGGTAAAATTTTGAGGTCAAGGTCTCACTTGGGTTAAAAAATCATAGTACATTTAGAAAGTTTTGTGGTAATGTACATTTGAAATATGAAAGCCCTATTTCATATTATTCAAAAATTATGATCAAGGTTAAATTTATTGTGACAGATGCACATACTGTCAAAGATGGCCAGACTGACACTGACAAATAAGATTTAATGTTCCCTCCCTTTCCCCCAAAACGGGGGACAATAATGCCCTTGCTGTTCTTGAGAAGAAGATTTATGATGGAAAAAATCCCCTGCATATTTCTTAACGCAAATCAATATTGTGTTTTTATATCACTTAATTGTTTGTTTGTTGTTAAACATCCCTCTCAGGAATTTTTCACTCAAATGGAGACACCCCCACTTGAAAAATAATGAGGACAATTAAGTCAGATTTGAGGTCAACATTCATTTTAGGAGTTTTCAACCATTAAGACGTAAAGAGACAGGAACTCGATCCTTCCCCTCACCCCATCCCAGACCCCTGTTTATATTCATGACATGTATGCAAACTAATGCTTGTTTTACATTTTTAAAAAAATATGTTAATAGCCTATATACAAATACTTTAATGTGGTCCATCTCTTTGAATGATTTTCATTCCTAATTCTAGGAGGATAGGTTGATGAATGAAATGTCAAGCAATCTCATCATTGATGCACTTTTATTTCATTTAATGCAGTCATATTGTGAACATTTCCAGTTAGAATCATTAGGAGAGTGGGGATGACCTCCAGGGGGTTCAAAACCTTTATACCATTAAATTTACATAACATAATACATGTAACACAAAAAGCGCAAAATTATGTATGGTCAAATGGAAAAAGTTTCCCACTATTTAGGAGTCACATGATCATTTGCCATTACTGTTTACAGGGACTGGAAGTGTATCTTATATCCCCCCACACACACACAACACACACACACACACAAACAACAAACAACAACAAAAAATTTGCAGGACTATAATATAAAAAAGACTTTGGATGCCCTCCACCCTAGAAAACAGACACCACCACACACACACACACACACACACAAACACAAACACACACACACACACACACACACACACACACACACACACACACACACACACACACACACACACACACACACACACACACACACACACACACACACACACACACACACACACACACACACACACACACACACACACACACATAACTTCTCCTTTTATTTGCTTCTCAGGAAATTCTGGTCTGGAAGTCCCCCCTCCCTCTCAGAAAAAAATTCTGTATTTTGTAACTGAATGTAACGTCGATAACGGGCGATAACTCTTTAGAATGTGAAATTCGTCTTATTGCAGCATCGGATGACCTTTGATCCTTTGAACTTTAACCTAACCAGTTGCATTTCAGACTATTTTACCCAACTCTATACCAAAACATGTACTTACCGACTGCCATAGCTCCAACTTCATGAAATATAATCCAATTAAACACAAAATAATTCCAACTGACATACATGCAATGATGTGTACACAACACTAGGCCTAGTACTGCACGTGCAGTGCTATCTAAAAATGATAATGGTAAAACTAGTACTTAAGTTAGGTACGTGACGCAAGCCCAATGTGATGCAGGTCTTCAGATACATTTACAGTATAAGAACAAATTTAAAATTATTATTTACAAAAGATGTTTTATCTTAACTTTGCCATCTAGGCCTATTTCCAAAAACAGGAAAATAGGGTGTGTTTGCGTGTGTGTGTGTTGATGGGAGAAGGGTGGGGTTGACTAAATTGATTGGGTATACATGGTATATGGCAGCTTTCAAGGTGTTTCTGCCTAATCAAGTATAAAAAAAAGTTTGTACATTTTGGAAAAAATCATCAAAAACGCTTTAAACTAATTTGAATAATATTTGTTGTTGATCTATATGAGAAAATAGATTTAAAAAGTTCCAATTATGGGCCAAAAATTTACCCCCCCCCCTTGTTTCAAACCTAATTTACATCATTAATTGAATTCTGTTGTTTAATTTCAGACTGGTAATGAATTATGAATATGAAATACATGTACCTATAAGATCGAGGCCCATGGGTCACATGTTCACTTGAGAATATTATGCTCAATTTGATGAATACATGGAGGTCCTATTATGTAAATTATTAAATTATATTGACTTTTTCTTTGGTAAAGCCTAATTTTAGAGGAGTGTGCATTTAGAGGCAAACACCTTAGTGCGGGTATTACTACGGAAGCCCTGGAGGGACATTGACTTACTTGTTATGACTTATTTGTTATAACTTTTTTGTTTTGACTTATTTGTTTTGAGAATTTTTTTTGTTAGTTCTAACTGATTGTAGGTAAGCTATTTAGAACAATTAATTGTAGTTTGTAGTTAAACATTCCACAAAACTGATGTGATTACTTAATTTTTCATCTGTAAATTAACCTACTCCCCTTGAGGGATAGTGACTTATTTCTTATGTGTTTTGACTTACTCTTTATGTGTTTTCACTTATATCTTATGTGTTTTGATAAAGTGACTGTCAGTTTGTCAATCATTACCAAACTGGAAGTTACAAAAGAATTACGTAAAATCCCTTTTTGAAAAAAAAAAATTAAGTTGTAACAACAACAAAAATATTTTCTTTTTGAAATCACAACTGTACTGGACGTTAAACTACAATTTGTTAATCAAAAAACCCCAGTTGAAAAAGGACCAAATATAATTTTTTTCATAAAAGTAGGCCAAGCAACAGTTTTTCAATAGCTTTCTTACACTTTGTTATAACTAGCTACGAAACATTCACAACAAATAAGTCAAAACAAAAAAGTTATAACAAGTAAGTCATAACAAGTAAGTCAATGTCCCCCCAGGGCTTCCCCTAATTACTGTCTCATGACAGCATCTAGTTTATATTTTTTTTCCCTTTTTTATTAATTTCTAACAATATTTTTTTTTTTGACAGAGGAGGTTTAATTTGTAAAAAATTGTTAATTTTAATGAGTTTTTTTACTAACAAAATGAACCAAA